TCCTCCACACCAATCAGATTCCTGCTTACTCCTGACAAGTAAGGTCTCCGTTCTGCGGGGCTTACGCTTCACACATGCGCAGTGATATGCTTCGCTAGCGTAATAGACTAGCATCTGCTATACACTATTGGCGATGTATCATACCATTGGCGATTAAAGACATGTTGTTCCGCTAAATATTGTTACACTGCGAAGTTAACCCTGACTTACTAGTTTACTTGAGTCTTATATTTAGTGTGATTATTATGGAAGAAATATTTTTATGTTTGGAATGTTCGAAGTCCTGTTCATTCCGACGAAATCTGCAAGCACATATTATCAAGTGCCATCCTTCGAAATTACAGGAATCAGCTCCCACATTAAGAACTGCTCGTAAATTTACATGTGATGATTGTGGGAAATTTTTTTCAAAACAAAACCTGCTTCGTGCACTTGAACGCGCAGAACATGGTAAAAATGACGCACCTGAAAAAATAAGTTTTATATTAGAAAATAATAGAACTACTAATATCAATATAGCCCTACAAGGATTTACAACCTTTTTGATTGATATCTTTATTATACTGAGCTATTTTTCGATACTGTTAAAAATAGCAAAGAATTTTCAAGCAAAGTTCACATTAGTGGTAAAAACACTAGTGTAAACACTAGACATCAATAATAAATACTAATAAATAATATATTGAGTTGCGAAAAATTTATTTTAACTCGTTGTTTTTTGTTAATAACTTCTTTAGTTAACCTTTTCAATCTTTTTTTATTTTCCTTTTTTCTTAGTAGTTGCTTTTTCAGGTTTTATTTTCTGTGCGAGTATTTTCTCGAAATTCTTCCGGTTTGAGCATAAACAATATGGTAAGCCTCGTCATTAGAGGATCGATTACGAATAAAGTGTATGTCTTTTGGATTACTAATAGGTAAGATAATGTAATCGGTAACAAGAAAGTATACACATATATTATAGAAAGATGTACATAATATAATATATATATATAAGATATAGATATATGATATATAAGAAAATAATAGATAGATATAAAAACTGCATTCGAAAAAAATTGTAAAATGAGTTTAAATTAATTGATTATGGCAAAGCACTCAACAATTATTTTGATGAGAGATGCCTTTGTGGAAAATATGAATTCAAATAAATTTTATAACAAATTTTATAACAGTAAATATAGGATGGAATATCAAACAAAACTACATTAGGAAATAAGGTTTAGTAAATTGATTATTAACCGTTACAGAAACCTACAGTATTAATTCATCAGTATTAACATCAACACTGTATCTACAATATTAACTTCAACACGTCAACAAAGAACAACATCTATTTTGAAGAAAAAACAACGTCTGTTTCCGAGTAAGTCCCGAGTAAATAAATTCCGCATTTCTGGGTTTATCTGAATAACAAATCAGTAATTCTTAATGCAAACAGTGCTGAATACTTATGGATACTTTTGGATTCTGAATACTTCTAAACATTTATTTTTTTGTATATGGAAAAAAGAACACACACATACAATTCGCAGCAATTGACAATGCGTGCCTGAAGTCTACATTCGTCGCCAATCGACGAAGGTTGCCGTGTTGAAAAAATATGTATTGCGCATCCGTGAAGCGTAAGCCTCGCAGAACGGAGACGCTACTACTCCTGACATCTACCTGGCTGCCGACTTTGCTCCTTCATTCAGCTTCGTACTCTCATCTCTGCCGGATGTACTGCTACGCTTCGAAAGTTATATCAAATCTTACTCGTCTCGCACTGCAAATTTCTTCCCATCTGCTGCCATGGACTTCAGTATAATTGCTCTAGAATATTTCACATAGATATGCCATGCTACATACTCTAGACCCCACAATTGCCATTCTTCCGACGTCACCATTCAGTTGCTATCTACTTTCTTCTTCATCTTATGCCAGGGCTTAATTTCTAAAATTAGAAGTGCCGGAGCCCTTTGGAAGACCGTCAGCAAAGAGGAACAAAAGTAAAGAAATAAATAAAATGACTATTAAATTCATTAAATTTTTTTAATCAAATAGCTAATTATTGCGAAATTAAATATTATTTAATTAATTTTTATAAATAATATTAGTCTGTTATTATTTAATTACTGAGTATTATTTAATTAAATAAAATTAATTAATTATTATTGTTAAAATAGTTAAATAATTAAAAATTAAAATAATTAAATAATTAAAATCAAATAAAATTCAAAGAGATAAATTAAAATTTAATAAGCGATTTGTAAAATAATTTTATTGCAAAAAATAAAATTTTCGAGATAAAATTTCTCATGAAGTTATTGTTCAGTTACATAAAAGAAGCGCCGGAGCCTTCCGATTTAGGGCTCCGGTGCGCTCCGGCTAGAATTATGATTTATCCCGAAAACTAAGAAGTACCGGAGCTGGGCTCCGGTGGGCTCCGGCTCAATTTAAACTCTGTCCTATGCCATCTCTACGATGTGCCTACAATATTCGGAAAAAGATTATGCTGCTATATTGCGATAGACTATGACCCAGGAGCCCGAAACATTGGACAATAGTTCAACAAGGCGAAAACATCACGAAAAAACATCGCGGATAAAACAGCGAAGCGCGAAAACGTAATCGTGCCAAACATTGTGCGAAAAAAGAAAGCAAGGAAAAAACACGGCAGTTCTAAAACATCGTCGTAAAAAAATGCCGTGGTATAAAATAAAGCACCGCACGATGATAACATCACAGGCATGTCTTTTTCAGGTTTTACAAGTTGCAAATGCATATTCACATAATGCAATTCACATAATTTGTAAGTGCAAGTAAGGATGAGAAAAATTATTTCCTCTATATTTCATAATTTTGGATTACTTAAAAATTTTTCTTTTTTACTAAAAATGCAAAAAGGATACTTAGCATTCAAAAGTTGAAAATGAGTAGAACATTGGCACATTGGCGCTGCCTACGAGTACGTGTGTATTAATACTACGTAACTACGTACGAGTATGTAATTAATGCTACGCAGTTAACAGAATTTTAAATTTATGTACTTAAAAATCATTATTTAATTAATTATTTAATTAATCTCTTTTATATAAAGTTGTATTGGTAATTTTTCATGAAAAATATAGTCTAAAAAATTAGAAAGATGAACATGAGTAATTGCATGAGGTTATCTATATTAAAATTCTTTTAGTAATTATCAGACACTAAAATTATTTTCTTTTACCTTAGTTAATCTGATATTCTTTTAGTAAAAATTAAGTCTTCTTTTATTTCAGTTCATTAGTTTTCATAAAAGTGTCATTAACATTTTTATGTGCAGCCTCTTTTGGATACTGATTCGTTAGATATGCCGGAACAGGTCAGGAGGAAGCTACATAATATTTCAGTAGGGGATTTGGATTTATTGGATTATTGCAAAGCACATTAGGGCTGTTTCCCTAAGGATAGGGAAGCTTTTGTGGAGGACTTTTTCAGAAACTGTCCGTGCCCACATTATAGTAGTATATTAGGAAAACCACAAAACTCTCTAGCAGCAAGTTCGTTCGCTGGTTCAAATTACCAGTGTTCAGCGACTTCATGCCTCGGCCACTAGGGCCATTTCAGAAAAGGAATATTAACGGAAAGTGATTCATTTTTACATCATTCGTTGAGAAAACTCAAATTTAAAATTATACCTAGAAAATATAAACGCAGATTATTTCAAAAAGAATATATAGTTACAATGAATCTCTTTTCTAAGACGATCAGTGTTTCTGAGAACATAAATAAATATGGGTATTTAACAATACCTCTTTAAAATGACCACGTCCACGGAAGACTAAAAGATATGGCATCGTCAATGGTCGCTTTAAAGAAGATTTTTTTTAATATTTAGACATTTTTATAAATAATTAAAAATATTATTAAATATTTTCAGATGCATTTTATTTGAATTTTTTTTAGTTATTGCTTGAACTTTTATAGCATACAATGAACCATCTTCCTTAGAAAACCACTTCGAAAGTTGGCGAGTATAGTTGTGAAGTTTTAGAATTAAGATTAAGTGTCATCTTTTTAAGATGACCAGCTTCACCGTAGTGTAAATCATTTAGAACCGTAAATGGTCGCCTTAGAGGAGGTTCGCTGCCTCTAGCTTTCCCATTTATGTAATTTGTAGTTCCTTTAGTAAGTATTTAATTTTCAGTTTTTATATCAAACATTTTCAACTATCTCTTCTCCTTTCTTAACACGTAGTGATTCATCTCGTAGCGACGTCCTCTGGAAGTGACCAACAATTGGATTACTGTGAAAGATGTGTCATATGTTGATAGGGAGGTATTTTATCATGACTTATGCCAAACTGCTGAGGAATTGTCGCTTAGGAAATGTGGTTTCAATGAGGACATTTTGGACAAACTGGTACACATTAATAATTAGAAAAAAAAATATACTGGGAGATTCTTTTATTTAAGATTATGCTTTTTGCGTGGGATTTCCGAGTTTTCAAAATACCTTAATTTATGCACTATCTTACCTGAAATCGATAACGAAATTGAATTAATATTTCTGAGTGAGACTTAATTTTGACTTTTATCCCTGGAAGTTTTAAGTATTAAGTTTGGGGCTTCTATTTGTCTCAGTAATTTTTTTATTAAAAATAAAAATTAATAAAAAACTTAGGAGAGATAGATTAAAAGGATAAAAACTGCATATATTTTACATGACTTTTGTTTTCACTGAATGAAAAGTTTCAAATATAATTTTTCGTATTTCAGTGGCCAATGTTGTGAATAAAAACTATTTATAAATTGTTATTTTAAACGTGTTTTTTCCCCCACTTTATCATTACTGTCTTGTTCTTATGATGCAAGTATTTAAATTATTTCCAAAAGTCTGCTCTAAAAATTAAAATTTCTTGCAAATACAATGCCTAACCTAGTAAATTAGTTATGTGTACATTTTCAATGTACAAGTTAAACATGTATATCATTTCCAAAATCATTATAATCTGATATCATATAGCTTTATGTTTACAGGCTAGACTAGAATACGACACATGAGAGCTGTCTACCTGAAGGGAAGAAAGCCTAAGGGGAAAGGCTTGTATACAAGTTACAGGTGCAGAACACCAATTCGATCGAACCCCGATCAAAATCTCAGTGTTCTTATCAGTGATTAAATGTTCTTATCCACCCGACCACTGGTGGGTCTCATGCTCATAAGAAACAGTATATTTACAAGTTGGAATGATTTGAGAAACGTTTGATTGAATAAAATTCAAGACACAATAAAAAATAAATGCAAAATTAAAAATGAAAACGCTTTATAAAAATGTGCAGGATGATTTTATATGTAAAGCATATTTTTTATTTCCTTGGTGGACTCATTATGAAGTTTCTTAAATAAAAGTTTTTTTCTTTTAGTGGAATAGTGGCTCTGAACACGGGCACTCACTGTTCGACAATACATGTATAAATATAGACAGACAAAGATAATCAGCTAATAAATTATTTGACTGATATAAACTCATCATTCAGATCTTTAAAAGTGTTCAGATAGTAAAAAAATGGTACCTTATGCTTTTACTTAATTATTTATGACGTAATGAGAAATCTTTGTATGAGAAATTTCTTCTTGATATGGATAAATAAAACCGGGCTGTTGAATTATTGTATTTTTAAACTCTTTCCATTCCAATTCATCGGGAATATTTTCACTATGACTTGTCTCATTTCTCTCTCTCTTTCTTTTGGTTTGTATATTACTTCTAGTTGTCTACTGTAGACATTCTATTCTAATAATTTTGAGATTCAAATACGATCTAACATTTAATTTAACGACATTTTGCTTTAGGTTTGAACCGTTTAAAAGTTATGAAATAATTTATTCCGAATTAAAAATTTTTGTTAAAGTTTCTCTGTAAAAATGTTAATCTTTAATCCAGCATTATGCATAAAAGAGCTCATTCCTCTTAAACTAACAAAATTCATTTCAGGGTACTTTTCCGTTTTGCCGGCGCAAGCGATAAAGTTGCCAATAATGGTACAACCGATGCCAAACGGAATATTCTCGCTGGTAACCTTTTACGCCTCATTTTCAAAACAAGTCGCAGCTTTTTCTTATCAGATTGATTGTTTTTTTCAATACTGGCATATAATTGCATAGAATTTTTATCAGATAGTTCAGCTTTATGTCTAAGGCCATTTTCGGTAATTAAGTTAATTAGAATGCAATCACAGTGCTTACCTGAAGCCGAAAATATAGAAAAGGTAAAGTCAAGGATTAAATTCAATTCTAATGAGAATGCATTAGCGAAGTAAAGCACTGCAGTTTTACATAATTTCTGAGTAAGCTATTCGTACGAATTGAAATAGTTCTTGCATATAAACTTGTGTTCCAAATTAAGATTTAACTTGAAATTAATGTAGATAATTACTGAGAGCATTAGAATTTTGTAGAGTAGTTTACGTGAGATGAGATCGCTTGGGGTCACGTGATATGAAACCGGCGAATCAGGATGGTGAACCATGAAAAGCATAGTAAATTCTTAAATTAATGTTTTTTTTTACAAATTTATTGTCTTTATTTATTGGCTTTTTATAAATTTTAAGCGATATTAAAATGTTTATGCCTTCAAAAAAAGAATTCTTAAAACTAACATTTTTTAAATATTTTTTATGAGTATACTGTATGTTGTCGCCAATAAAGTCTGCTTGGCGAGATTTGCGCCGGAGAAACGGAAAAGTACCCATTTCAGATATACTAAAAATAAATCAACTGCAAATTTCTTAGCTGACAATTTAGCTCACAGAATACTTCTCATTTAATTACGTAGTGACTCGAGTGATAGTTTGCGATTAACAAATGTAAAACGTATGAATCTCGGCACCAAATTTCGACTCACTTTCAAAGTTAGCAAAAATTTCTGCATCCAATAATTCCAAAAAGATCTAGAAACTCCGGCTATAAAACTAACTTAGCCACTACGACTTACCTAGAATTGAAAGAAGAAATGCTCAGCGACTTCAAAAAACGTATCAAAGAACACGTACTAAATGGCACACATAATAAGCAAGATTTAGGCAAGAAAGTTAAAACATTAAAGATCTATTCACCATTACGAAAATAGACAAAGCAAGTAACAACTTTAGTATCATTTGAAAGGCTTTCTACTATAATCTGGCTAAAAAAGAACTCCATAGCGCAGTTACATATCATAAAGTTAAAACTACGGCGAATATGCTGCAAAGACGTCTTATTGCAATTCATGGAAGACTTAAGATAACTACGAATTTATTTTACGACAGGTTTTCCAACCTTTATGCATTGCCTATTTCATAAAACGCCAGTCAAATTTCGATTCATAACTAACGGGAAACTGCATGAAAGAAATAGACTACCGTTTTGCTAAAAATCCTTGAAATAGTTCTCTACTTTATTAAAGATGCACAGATGCAAGACCACAATTTCAACTGGATAATAAGTTATAACGATTCGATACCAGAAGCGCTTCGCACTTCTGAAAAGTGAAAGTCGAAATTATTCGCGAAGATGAAAAATATTTTCTTTTACGACTTTGAGAATTTATACACGGCTCTTCCGTTATTGAAGTCTTTAACAGTCTTCTAATTCTACCAGATTTATTTCCACAAATTATTACGGTTACTTCCAAAGAAGAATGGCAGCAATATTTAAAAGGTATTCTTTTTAACAACTATTGCATTTAATAATGTTTTTTTTTTAAGCAAATCAACGATATCCCGATGGGAACTAGCACGAGTTCAGCGATTTGTAATTTGTACCTTTTCACCAAGGAATTTCTTTTCTAACAACAGTTATCTCAAGTGCAACTTTCATATTACTCTATTATTACATATTTAGTAATAATTCATTAATTAAATTTTATAAAATTTTGATAATATATCAGTTTATAGTGCAAAAGGAAATAGTATTTGCACATGCTACGGTTTATACATTTTCTTCTAAATAATTGTTTTAAAATTGCTTAAATGTGTACTTAATTCTTATACATTTTGAATGCTATTTCGTTGGATTATTAATCTACTAATTTGATTTCCAAGATAGGAAAACATTTCTTACCTTAATGGCAGGGCGTGTATAGAATTTAATTTTGGAGGCGGGAAGCAAGGCAAAGGAACACTCTCAGATGATTAATTATGATTTTGATTAAAACTATGTGAGTATGTTTAACAATATTGTGTATGTTTTATTTCCTGTAAAAGTAAAATGCTGTTGGAATATTTAAATGCAACTTATTTAGACTTCCGAATCCTGAAAGTTTCTCTCATCTTTCAAATCCTTCATATTAGAATAATAATAAGAATATGGGTATTAGAATATAGCAAAGCCACGAAGGCTACCTGCCTATGGGGAGGACCTGTCTTGGAGGACTTTTAAGGGAAGCTGGATCGTATTCACGTTAGACATGGGAAAAATCAACCATGCACCCAGCCCGTTCGCCTGGGATCGAACCCAAACCATGTCAAACTGTCAGTATTCAGCTGTGATAACCACTCAGCCGGTGGTGGTGCCTCATAATAATAATAAACGAGAGGGAAAATAAAAAATTTCATTTTATATTAAAAGTTTTTTAACTAAAGCAAAGTCACCAATCCGCATTTGCTGAGTAAAAAAGTATTGGTGATCAGTATTGGTGTCTACATGTGTCTGAACGGGTTTCTGTGTTTGCACATGTTTCCTTTCAGGGTTAAGGGCTTGTGCGTAATTGACGGTAGGTCATCTGATCGAAGATTTACCTGAATTTTTGGCTTCCGGAAATTTACTGCATCCTCTATAGGAAGCTGGATGACCTACTAATCCACAGTTTACACACTTAGGCGTATCAGTTTTTCCTTTAATTTCACAGTCAGAGCTTTTGTGAAAACCAGCGCATTTGACACGCCTAGGTGCCATGCGGCAGGTTTCAGACGAATGATGCCACTTTTGGCAGTTAAAGCATTGGGGTATCTGAAATTTAGATACACATTTCTCAACACTAGTTTCAAAACAGAGAAGATTAGAGAGCTCCATTTTCTCAGTGCATCATTTTGAAGCAGCTGTATATGAAATAACGGCATAGGAGCTTTAGAACGATTTTTTGTTAACTGCACAACCTTATAAATATTATATCTCTTTTCTTCTATGGCAAAGCACACTAGGGCTATCTGCTTGGGAGGGATGCCTTCGTGGAGGACTTTCTAAGGGAAACTGGCTTCGTATACACGTTACACATGGGGAAAACCACGAAAACGCCCATAGCCAGCCCGTTCGCGGGATTCGAACCTCGGACCGAACTACCAGTTCGGTGACTTAACCGCTCGGCCGCTGGTGGGCCCAAAGTAGGATCTTAACAGGCTTTTCACGCCTAAAGTTCACTACAAAAAGGTCAACAGCATTTTCTTTAAAAAATTTGCTGACAATTCGGTGATCATCTTCAGTATTTGGGAGAATTCTAATAAATTCACCACTAAGTCGACACAAAAACTTAATATTAGTAGGCTTTCAGCGATTTTTTTTTTTTTTTGGCAAAGTCACCAAAGTTTTCATTTTCTTTAGGTCTCACCGTAATTTGGGGAATACTGATATTCACCGCACGTGGAATAACTTGTTGTGAGCTAGTAGATGCCTGAGAATTAGAGTCCGGATCGTTGTTGTTCGGATTAACATTCATGTCACTATCACAATTATCAGTATTATTTACATTAGTAACCTTAGACAAAACATCAAACTTATTAGAAGTTGGCAATTTCTTGTTTTTAATTACTTTTGGCTTAACGGTTTTAACCGGTTTCTTAAAACCTGCATCGTTATCAATTAGGTCAGAGTGCAGAGTCAGTATGTTCCATTTTACGTTTGCTATTGCCTGCACCACGTGCAACAGAATTAGGCTTAACAGACTCATTATCCGTATCGTTAATAACACATTTATTAAAATCGGCCAATTTGCAAGTACTTGCTAAGTAAAATTCGCACTTACCTTCCAAGTCCTTGATTTGTTGAGAGACTAGTTGTATTCCAGGCAAGAATCTAGATGTAAGAGTATCCGGTTTAGCGCTGTCACCTTGAGCAAGACCTTCTAATAACGTTTGTTTTAAAACATTACGTTTCACCTTCAGGGAAGAAATTTCCTCTAAAGCGGCATTGTAATCAAAGTCCAAAAGACTAGTAAAATCCTGTCGAGAGTCCAAGTCGTTATTCCTTATTTCACAGTTTATATCCTCATCATCGTCATAAGTCCGATCAGCCCAGGAAACCTGGGTAGGTTGCGGCGGAAAAGCATTATCACCCGCTGGTGCACGGTCGCACTCCATATCGGAGATAGAAGCAAACAGAACGAGCGTGTACTGGCTGTCATGAATTATTAAGCTTCTTTCCTAATTTTGAGGACATTCCTAATTTTCCTAATTTTCGGAACGCCCCGGGAGGAATCGGAGGAATTTTCGGCCCGAGAAAATCTCCCACCCCTCTTTTCCTACCACCAGCCACTCGAAAGGTAAAAAAGGCCTTTACGAAGGCATCCTTCTACTTAGACAGATAGCCTTTGTAGGATTTGCCTTAATTCAAGTAATCCAATCCAACTCAGTATGATGTTATTGTTCACGTAT